TTCTTATTTCAAGGAATGACAGAATGACTGAGGTCATAAGGAACCTCTGGAGGTCATCTTGCCCAACCCCCCTGTTCAAGCAAGGCCACCTAGAGTAGGTTGCCCAGGACATTGTCCATCCACAATTCAAATAAAAAAATAGTTCATTTCTAAATTTTGAAGTTCAGAAATAAAAGCCAAAGGGAATATTTGCCAAAGCTGTTCCTTTGCTATTAATAATTTCATGGCATAATTTTCTAGAAAATACTGACTATTACTGATGTTTATTTGTCACAAAACATAATGAAGCAAATGAGGTTTCATATTATTTTAAATATAATCTGAAACATATGTAAAATAACCTCTCATTGCCATCTGTTTTCTGATTCTTTGAGATTACTTTTCATATGCAGACTGCCTTGTTTTAGTGGACTTTGTCTGTGAAGGAGATAGAAAATAATTCACATGAAATAAAAAAAAAAAAAAATTATGGAAATACTACCAGGCTTTTCACAAACATGAAAAATAGGATAGGACATATTTTGACTATATTTACAGTAGAGCAAAATTTTTCTAGCATTCATTCAAAATTGTATATGATTAGTTCTTCCGTTGACTTTGAAAAAAAATTCTTATTCAGCATAAAAATCCTAAGCCTTTTAAATACAGGACTGTTTTTGCCAATGATTGCATTGCGATCACATTTTTTGTTCCATTTTAGTGTGGTTTTATTGTTTTTCTGCTAACAATTGACTGTAATGAATTTTGAGACTATCATACAGAGAAAACGATATTAATACCAGGGTAGAGAGCGTATCTGAGTTCCTCATCCCTCGTCATTTTTCTCCTGTGTTGTCTGACATATTCATTTGTCTTCTGACTCCATGTTTATCCTGTTGCCCTACAGCACTGTTTCACATAATTTGAGTATGAATATGAGACTTCCAAGATAAAAAGCTGTCAGTGTATCTGTTCTGATCTTTGAATCTCCTCACTCATGTAATGTCACATACATTTTACATTTCATTTTGGGGAAATTTTCTTGTATTTTTATCTTACTGTTCTTCCTAAAATATAATAAAATTTGTGTAAAAAGTCTGGAGAAGTCTCTCTGAAAGTCAAGGCTATTTAAGTCATTTTAGCAATATGTTGGACTGATATGAAATATGGCAATTTATGACAATTTATCTTGCTTGATTAGGATGTCCGTGTGATGTAAGTACATACTAAATTGGGAGATTATGGATTTTTGACTGAAGAAAGTGTCCCATTTCATTTATCATTTAGATACAGATTTTTTAAACTGTACATGATTTAACTCATAACCCATAATAACTTATTGAATCTTTGTTACTGAACCAGCAGCCAGTAAGTTAACTAATTTGTGTCACCATTTGATTTTGAAGAATGAGCTGCTCCAGGTAAGTTAGAAACCAGGACTGCAAAAATTATCTTTTAAGTGGAATGTGATCACAAATAAAATCTGTTTTCCCCACCACCGCCACCTTTGTTGATAATGGTCAGCAGTTTATAGGGACTCAAAAATACTTTTCTAAGATTAAAAAACTAACCTGGTTTTTAAATTTATAAAGGGGCATGCTATGCACTGTCTATTTTGGGATTCACATTTATTTCCATTCATCATGTGTCTGTGGTTGTAGACGTTTCTTTGCAGATAGAATCTCATGAAATTCCATATTTTAGGCCAAGTCCACATGTACAGCATTAAGATATGTTCCAAAACCCACAAATCAAATTTCATATTCATCCACTGTTTAAATACATACATACACATGAACTATTAATTTGGAAATTTAAGATCCCCTTCCAAATAAATAATTTTCTTGAAGTTGTTCATAGTCAAAGCTTTTTTAGAAGTCAAAATGTTTACCAGTAATATACATGTCTCAAGAATGTGGCCTCTATTTTATCTCATAAGTGAAACATTTTCAACAGTTTCTTAGCTTCATTATGTAAAAATTACAGTATTTCATCTAACTTCACATGTTCAGTGTGTTTAGATAAACTGAGACCGCTTTAGGAACACATAAGTAAAATAGTTATCAAGTATTTGTTCATTTTTGCCCTGTTTTCCACAATCTAGCCCACATGTGAATATGCACGTGCGCGCAAACAACTTTGTAAGTGTTCCTAATTATAATCATACAGCCTTTGCTTACTAGTTCTTCTGTACATTTAATAGTAGGTATTTAATCTGAAGGAGAAATGCTTTTTTGTTAATAAAACCTTGGTACAGCAGGTTGTCTGAAAAATCAATCTAATCCTCATGATCTACAGAGGCAAGGGAGAAATATCTAAGAGAGCAATTGCCTTAAATTTCATGGCTGCTTTAGCATTAAGGCAATCAAATGTGAAATATCAATACATCTGCACAGCATGAGTGACTGTATCTTGTTATTCTGATGAATAGTAGAAGCAGAAATGAGGAATGTGAAAAAGAAAAGCACTAACTGAAAACAGATTACATACAGTGTGCTACAGTGATATTTAATATCATCAGGCAAGATGATATCTTACCGTGTGTCCGATTTTAATGAAACAAATCAAGAGAGAACCAAATCAATTCAGTTTAATTACTTTAAAAGCATAGAAGTCTCAATTCCTAGAAATTAGAGATCATTCATTCTCTTTCAGTTACAGAGAGGAAAATGTGCCCAACTTCTGTACATAGTAGTACAATTTTTTATACTAATTTTACTCTTCTGTGTAGCCCCTCTCAGTCACTGAGCTCTACAGATTCCTACCAAGTCAGAGGGATAGGGATCCATACTTATCCTGCATTGGATAACATGCAAAATAACAGAAATGAGGGAAATCTGAATAAACATTGAATTGAAATAAACTTCTCTTACTCTTACTGTACCTGTTGGGTTTTTTTTTTTCTGACTATTTCTTCATTCAGGAATGAATGAGATTTCAGAAAACATGGCTTTTTAGTTATTGCATTATATAGTGTTATTTAGTTATATAATGTTGAGCACTCTGCTTGATTCTTGCATATTGTGGTACAGCTCTGTTTTCTTTTTGAGTTTTATAAACTTGTTTAATCATCAAACCAGCAGATACTTAAATATATGTTATTCATTGGACCCGAGACAATATTACAGTACTAGTTTTTGCTATTGGCAAAATAACTAAATGTTGAGGTTTCACTGTAAGTATTAGAGGGGATAACATGCAAAATAACAGAAATCTGGGAAATCTGAATAAACATTGAATTGAAATAATTTAAAACTTCTCTTACTGTACCTGTTGGGTTTTTTTTTTTCTGACTATTTCTTCATTCAGGAATGAATGAGATTTCAGAAAACATGGCTTTTTAGTTATTGCATTATATAGTGTTATTTAGTTATATAATGTTGAGCACTCTGCTTGATTCTTGCATATTGTGGTACAGCTCTGTTTTCTTTTTGAGTTTTATAAACTTGTTTAATCATCAAACCAGCAGATACTTAAATATATGTTATTCATTGGACCCGAGACAATATTACAGTACTAGTTTTTGCTATTGGCAAAATAACTAAATGTTGAGGTTTCACTGTAAGTATTAGAGGAATGGACCTTCTCCCTGTCTATGTTTATAAACCATAAAATATCTAATAAACTGTGCTGGAGACTAATAGCATAGATTCTATACATGGGGATTTGAAAAAGCCATTAATTTCCAGTGTGTTACAATACAATCCAACCCAACAGAAAAACAGAAAGGAAAAAAAAAAAAAAAAAAAAAAAAAAACACCCCCCATTTATTTTAATGTATATTCCATGAAGAACTGTTGATGAAAATCCTCTTCCCAACAGTAATGAAATAAACTTGTGTAAATCACTTTTTTAAAAGTACGAGACATACAAAATCTCAAAGGATAAAAGACGCAGTACAAACATTCATTTTAGGTACATTTATACCATTGGTAAACTTACTAATTTGATGACTATTCATCTGATTGTAGTTATTTTTCCTAAACTGGTTTCCTTACATGTTCATTACTGACATTTGAGACAGAGAATGCCCCATGCCTACTTAATGTAGAAATCAGTTTCACAAAGAGATTTAAAAACAGATCTATTCCATTAGCAGCACTGTATGAAATATGGGTTGATCTATTTTCCATAGCAGTAGTGTACCAGTACACACTGAAAATTGTATTTTATTACTAATGGCATGGTTATAAATCAAAAGTTGCATGATGTGTCTACTCCCTGTTCAGATGTTCTCCAGAAGTTGGTATAGTGGTGACTCATACTCTGTTACTCTTTAAGGATTTGATATTAAATTACTCAAACTTAATAGATGGATAGGTAGGGAATTAGATCCTAAAATGGGTTTGAATAAGTTCTAGTTCATACATCTATGTCGGAAGATCTGCAAGTAGTGGTAAGAATCAACAGCATTCTGGTTACTTCTTAGCTGTAGATGAAGTCTGTTCAAAATAGTGTCTGAAAACAGCCTGTTAATTTGCTATTCCTAAGCAAGGAGGTTCAAAACTCCTACACAGGGATTTTCAGAGGGGAAAAAAAAAAGCTTGTTATTATTTGGAAATAAAATTTGTAAGATCATATTGTTTAATGCATAATTGTGAACTTGTATGTGGAGACTGTATCTACATTGCAGTGTAACAACAGTTACTTGATTTTGTATTCCTGCCTAGTGGTTCCTTACACTTCACTTGCATTAAATTTCTCTGACGTGACCCGTCAGCAAATATGTAGAATTACTTCAGGGAGCTTTTAATGAGATGATAGACCTTAAACATCCACTGAGTATGTGGTTTAACTTTTTTGTTGTTGCTAGTACAATAAATATTTGTTCTGATGTTTTTGGATCCTTTATACAAGTACGTGATTGTAAGTGAACTGCTAATACACCATATTGTGTCAGTGGTTCAAGGTTTGTAGCTACGTAAAATTTGACAGACATCAGCTTACTTTCATGAAATATTTGCAATTCATTTGAAGAAAGTGTCTGAGGAATTTGTCAACACTATTGATTTTTCTGTCAGATAGTCTACATGGGCTGGACAGAAGAACGGGAACAAGACTCCCTTCAGGATCGAATGTACACACCAAAGTTTCTAGCACTGAGGGGATCTTCCCTATATAAATTCATAGCACCTCCAGTAAGTATGTTTGTCATTCTTAGTGGGAATAAATGTTATTAAAATAATTTCATGTAATATTTACAAGGCTTTCACAATGAGATATCACTCATTGACCTAACAGGATTTCAACTTACAACACTGAAAATTCCCAGGGTATGTGGTATAGCTGTTTGTCACGATTGGGCATCTAACAAGAATTTTTCCCCCACTTACCTGAGCACTTAGAAAAATAAAAGAGAAATCCACTTGTGCTGAAAGGGGGCTTTTCATTTTCCTTTGGCAAGCAGAACAAGCCTGAAGCAAGATGGTTAGATTTAAACTGAACTATCATTCTAGTCAAACTGCTGAGATTTGGGGAAATAGCAAAGCTTTTTGCATGCTGTGGAAATGGCAATATCTCTGTATTTAGATTTCATCCTGAATGTAACTTTTACGCTGCTTGGGAGCACCAAAAGGAAGGTAGGGAAGCAAATGAAATTGTTTAGGTTAAATATATTAATTGGAATCTGACTGGCAACACTAGGCAAAATTTTAGCTGTTGTCTCATACTCAGCAATTTACTTTCACAGTTTTATGGTACATCTAAACTGCGGTAAACAGAGATATAGTCTAGCTAACTTTTAGGCCAGTAGCTAAGGAGCCAGTAGCAGTCCCATACTGGCAGCAGGGAGAGTCATGTGCATTTATTTGTTCTGTTTATTGGGTGACCTTTCTGACTGCTGCTAAACCCTGTGTTGCCAGATCCAGGCTGTAGCTCCTTCCTGCCTGAATCATAGAATCATAGAATCATAGAATAGTTTGGGTTGGAGGGGACCTTTAAAGGTCATCTAGTCCAACCCCCTGCAATGAGCAGGGACATCTTCAACTAGATGAGGTTGCTCAGAGCCCCGTCCAACCTGACCTTGAATGTTTCCAGGGATGGGGCATCTATCCCCTCTCTGGGCAACCTGTTCCTGAGGTAGTTCAAAGCTAACTTGCAAGTCTTTACATCATTCATCAGTCACTATTCATGTTTGTTTAGCAAAGTGTTTAAGAACATGTGAAAGACATGAAGAATGGATGTAAGTATGAACTGAAAACTTTGTGTGTTCAGTGTTGGTACACTAGTTCACTGGCATAGGAGTTTGGCTCTCCCATGGCTAGTAAGGGGAATTTGGCTTTGGTTGGTGGATATTTTTCAGGATCAGATTAAAATGTCAGATTATGCTGCCGAGCACCTTAATTCAAAAGCAGCTCTCCTGGCTTTGGCAGACCTACCTGAGCATTTGCTGCCCATCAAATAAAGCCACCTCCATTCTAGACACTAGATAGAAGCAGAAACAATGCTGAGAGCTCCCGTTCAATACCAAAGAGGAAGATTGTTCTTTTGTAAGCACTATGGAAGGAACTACAAGCCTCTTTACTGAGGATTAATCTTAAGTTTCCAGGAGTAATATGCTGCTGGTGGGTAAATGGGTAGCGGGTGATAATTAACGAGTGAGGGAGGAACATGTTTATAATAGGGCTGTGAACCACGGTGATGTGAGTTAGGACAATTTTGGCAAGCTGCTGCTGTATGAGACAAGCCACTGATCCTTGAAATCTTTATAGGTCTTGTTTCAGCTAAGCTGCAAGCACAACATGATTTTGTTTTGCCAGATTCCGGTTCTTGTTCCAAAATAGAAAGACAGTTCAAACATAGAGAAAAATATTTTCTCTCCATGGAGTAGAAGGGAAGCAGAATGCTTTTAGAAGGACAAACAGAGGAAGAGTTCCTACAGACCTACCTTAAAAAACCCGTAATGTATGTAATAATTGCACACTTATATGCCCAGCAAAATTATCTTCTTATTGAAGACCACAGTAGGCCTTTTAAAAGGACTTCTAAAATCCTATTTTCTATATGCAAACTTTTATTCATACAGTTATGTTTGCTATGCTGCAGGTATGTGTGTTCATCTCTTCCAGGGATTATGAAAGATTAAGAACAAACTTTCAATGCCACAGTTTCAGAACTTCTATTTATGAGATGCGTAAAGTGTAGTTATAAGAAGAAAAACAGTTTTATTTATATTTGCAGTGTAAACTCCTTGGATTAAGTTGTTTTCTGAACAGAGATGTGCTGCCAATTTTTTAAGCAGAAAATAAAATGAAAGTATTTCCCTGGTCTCTGCCAAAGTCTAACACATTAGGGAAACGTGTTTAAACAGTGTATATCAGCAGCCTCCCCTTGCCTCATTTTTATCTGTTTGATCAATAGTACTTCTACTTTCCATGCTCAGATAAATGAGCAATTCTAACCTATCTTATTTGCGTTTTGAAAGCTTTAAACAAAATTACTTTTTTTTTCTTTTTCTGTTATTTCCTGGTACATTTTCTCCTTTAGAATTATTAAGTGTGTCAAGTCTGGTGGGTTTCACTTTCTTACAGTTTATAGTTGGAAATCTCGGAGAGAATGGACTGAGAAAGAGCTGCTAATACCTTTTCTCTTGCTAATCAAGCCTTTAAATTAAAATATTAAAAGTGAACAGGGCAAGCAATTTCTATCGGTGTCTTAATTCTATAGTTGCTTTTGCTTTGCACATATCTTTATATAGAAGGATTTTTGTTTTGACCTGAAAAGAAGTCCTTTTATAAGTACAGACAAAAGCAGAAAACTAGAGGAGAAGGGGGAGCTCTGATATTTTTCCCCAAAGTATGGACCCTACAGTAAGCTTTTAAACATAGCTCCGAATGGCTTTGTGCTTCAGCAGCAATAGTAACTACTTTTCCTGATGGGGCAATATGACTTCAGCTTGTGTGGCTGGTGTTTTGGGCTCAGTGGAGCTGTAGCAAGACTCCTCTCCCCATTTCTCTCTTCATGGTGAGAAAGTTAATTTTTCTGTCCACAGTAGAAAGAGCAGCTTCCCCCCCCCCTTCTTTCTTTCCCTGACAAAAGCATTTTACATGTTGTTCATCACATCTCTGAATAGCTGCTTAAAACTCAGACATAGAGAGTGTATATTTCCAATATGTCTTTACTTCCTCATTCTATATCAAACAATTTGTTGACTCTCAGTATTTAGTCATTCCCTTCCTTAGAAATCTGGTTTAATACCCATACTTCAATAAGGTAGTTAAAACTGAGTTTGAGGATGACTGTAAATAAATAAAATTCTAATAGAAAAGGAACTATGACACTGTATTTTTGAACTTTTCATTCCTGACTGTTTTCCTCAAAGGAGTTTCAGTTACGATAGTGTTTATACCTGAGAATTAGATAGGGATAGAATTTTCTCATACAATACCAAAATAATTTTGATCAAGAAAGTTTTATACCGAGGCATCCAAACCCATAGATGCTTCTCAGCCATGTTGTGTCTATTAACGATTGTTTTCTCTTTAGGTAAAAGATAAATTGGTATCATATAATATTTTCTTTGTATGCTGTGTATACTATTTTATGATACATTTTTCAAAGAACTTTATATTCTTGATTCTTGAAAACCACATCAACTTCTGTCTTCAACAACCTCTTCATCTCGCCTAAAAATTGTAATGATACAACCGTCTTCCTTTGGAGCTGGGTCACTGTTCAAAACTTCTTACCGTTAAGATTTTTTTTTTTTCCATATATAGCCTCAATTTTCATTCTATTTTGTGTTCTTCTGTCTTTTGAGATTGTGAATAATTCTCCTCTTTCCTTCTTACAGTTTCCTTGGAAAGTTATTTATAGATTGCTTGACTCTTCCCTTACTGAATATATTAATCTATCCCTTTCTGTCCTGTTTAAGTCTTAATCCTTACTCTTGCATGATTTTATTGAACTCTTTTATCTATGCAATTCTTTGTGTACAATAGTTGCTTTAAATTAATACTGCTAAAAGCAATTGTCAAATCCTAAGACAAAGAGGAGAAATAGACTATTCTTCAAATCTTAGTTTGTTAGAATTTAGTAGATTAATCTTGGTAAGAAAAAAAAGAAAATGTATATTTGCCTCTGTTGTTTCTTGTTAGTTTTTCCCCCTGGATTTCAAGGCATGTGGGGTAAGTGTCTGGGACGTTGCAAGGTTGGAGAATTTGATTTTATGGATTTGCAAACAATGTAGGTGACTGGGAGCAAATTGTGGCATACAGTTACATGGAGGGAAGCGGTGAGAAACATGCCTCTGTGCATCTTCACAGAAGGCTCTGTGAGAGGAATTCAAGGGCTGCATCCTCTCAACCCCCACCAGTTCCCAGGGGAAGCCTCATCATTCAGCATAGAGCAGCCCGCATGCAAAGGCACTGAGTTTTAAGCACAAGGAGACAGGCAGGACGTCTCCTAAACACTGCCTGTATGTGGAACAGTCTGGTCCCTGGTAGCTATTGCTCTGAGGCAGTGCTTGGTCTTTCTGTATACATTATACTGGTTGTAAATGGTTTAGGGATAGATTTTTATATTTTTAATAAACTTAATTCTTGAAATAAACAAAAATAACTTGCTTTCTTTTCCTGTTTTTTTTTTTTGTTTCCAAGGTCACAACCTGGGATTGGACACGAGCTGAGAAAACATTTTCAGTTTATGAGATAATGTGCAAAATTCTCAAGGTATGATGAGAAAGTATAAAATAAATTACCACTTTGTCAGACCGGTTGACAAGCCGGAGCATAACACTACAACTGGAAACTGCATGTGACCACCTTGCAGAAAGAGGTTGATTTTTTTCCCCTTGAAGTCAATATCAGAATTCCTGGTGTCAATAGACACAGAGGCAAACTAGAAGGCATGACAAAATTGGAAATAAACTGATTTTGACTAGGAAACTATTTTATTTCTCCACAATGCTGTATGGGTTTTATAGCTTTACTTTAATGTCACATTCAACCTGTATAACATTTCTTTTGCTAACTGAGAAATAGCAATCAATTTGGTTGCTTTCAAATATGTTGATGCAACTAATAATGGCTGCAATGTAAGATTTCACTGAGAGCAGAGTCCTTAAAATATGCAATACCATTCTGAAAACCTTTGTCTTATTTTTTCCAATTTCTTCAGTTTGTCTTAACTGTAATAAATGGGAAGAGATAATGAAATATGTTTAGAAAGTTAAAGCTATGAGTAGCAAATTGAATAGGGCCATTATTGTAGATTGTATTTAATTTTTATTTCTGAATTAATTCAGAATTAATATATATGGTCTTCTCTCTGTTTTAAAAACAGTGAAAAACAGTTTTCCAGATGCTCAGCTTCTTCAGTTTGTCTTAACTGTAATAAATGGGAAGAGATAATGAAATATGTTTAGAAAGTTAAAGCTATGAGTAGCAAATTGAATAGGGCCATTATTGTAGATTGTATTTAATTTTTATTTCTGAATTAATTCAGAATTAATATATATGGTCTTCTCTCTGTTTTAAAAACAGTGAAAAACAGTTTTCCAGATGCTCAGCATTTCTCAATCTAAAACAGGAGGAGACGAAAAGGAGATGAAAGAGATGAAAAAAAAATTGTCTCTTTCCATTCATCTGAAATGCTTTCCTGTGTGTGTTGGTTCGGGTTTTTTTGGGTCAAAATTATGTAAAAGGTAATTTGGTCTTTTCTGTAGTTTCATCTAGGCAGAGATAGACTATTATCAAAAAGAAGTATGAAAAATCATATTTTAAAAAAGTGTTTCCCATTGGGAAGACCTTATACTGACATACATGGTACAATTCCTAGTTTTTGTAGGTCACATAGGTGCACTATACTTTCCTTAGGGAGGTAGATTACAGGTGGAACAGCTCAATAAAATTCAGGAACTTTTTACATCAGAGACTTCAAAAATAAGAAACCAAATTTATAGTCTGAAAAAACCTCTCTGCTAGCAGTCTGGAACAGAAAAGTGAAAGGAGTTCTTTTACTGCTATGTTGGCTGTGAGGTCTGGAATCCTCATCAGGGGGTAGAACATCCAAAATGCAACACATCCCATCGCCGTGGTATGTCTTTTAACTACCAAGTGTGTGCAAACATTGACTCTTTAATAGTGGTCATGTAGGGAGAGAATTAACAGGAAAATTTAGTCACTCTGTGAAGACATTACACTGAGGGCATAATATGAACAGTGGTCTTAGAGCACAGTCAGGCTTTGACAGAGATGAAAAATCTCACTTGTGACATGCACTTTTTTTTTTTCTTTTCTGTTAACCTCTGATTACTTCAGGCCTTGAGCCTGGAAAACAGTAAGCACCAAGGTAGCTCTTTGAGAAGTAAGCCTGTTGGAGCCAGGATGACTCTTCTTTGTGACTTATCCAAAGATTTTATTATACCGTTTGAATAGAAATGTACAGAATCTATGCCATATAGTTTTCTGTAATTTAAAGGTCCTTCTTTTCATTTCTTCTACAATTTTCCTTTGTTGATACTCTTCTCATTCACTCATTTTTAGCCATTTTTCTTTTTTCTCCTTCTCCTTTATCCCCTGTTCTTGCATACCAATGCAGGGACTTTTTTTCTCTTTTCAGCCATGTAGCAGAAGTTAGTTACAGCCAAGGACTCAGTCCACAAAGCAGTGAAACCTAAACCAATGCCTTCCTGGCACTGTTGTGTGGAAGCACAGAAAAGAGTACAAATATGCTGTTTTTTCTTATCATCCAGATCTCCAAACTGTCTGGGAAGAGGTGTAGATCCTCCATTTTCAGCCTGTATTAACAGAGGATGTCCCAGCAGAGAAGCAATTCCAGTTTAAGTGATACAGGAATATCATTTATGTGTTTCTTTATCATGTTATTCATATTAAGTTATTCCTTTATTGTCAGTAAACATGGTCAAACTTATAAAGTATTGAAATGTTTCAGATGGATTCTTTAGCTGACTAAAACCTGTAAATAATAGAAAATGGAAGTAGAAAAATCATTGCAATGAAATTACAGCTTCTGACATTGGAGTATTAATCTTCACCATATTTAAGTTTTCTACAGCAGGTACTATAAGACTTAACTATGGTTTCACTCAATATAAAACCAAGAAAAACAGCTTCCCATTACTACTATTACATTGAACCTCTGCAGAGACTGAAGGTTTTTTTCAGCTTTTATGCCATCATAAATGTCTCCATTTTAGCAGTGCATGTTTCTAGACACATTTGTAGAAGCCCCATGGATATTACTGAAGCAGAGACAACTTAAAAAAAGTTACTCTGGTGCTTTGTGATCATCTTCAAACTTCTTCCCTTCTATAGTACCTCACATGCTACTTTCATTATAAATTTGTTGTCCTTGGAGGATGAGTCAAATGGCAAAAGGGCAGGCTAACAGGGTTTGAAGCGATTATATTTTCAGAGATTGACAGATATAACATGATAGCTCAGGAAACATAATGAAAAAATGAAGAAAAGAAACCTGGGCTCTTCTACCGCAGAGTGTTCCCTCTCCTGCACTTCCTGTTCTTCCATGGCAGAGACTGAGTTCATGTCATTCTTTTCAGGAAAATTGAGAAGATAGAATTATTCTGTGTTTCCACTTCAGAAGAGACAATCACATGTCATTGGGCAGAGATAAATCCAGGAAGATAGTAATGCCTGTTTGCTGGACAATATCATCACTCAGTGTCTCTTAAGTGGGTTTAGTTCCATATTCTCGGCTAAATTCAAATTGTTCAGTCTACACTTCACTAGGAGTAAATATTATAGAACATTCCCAGATGGTGGAACACCATCATCTATATTCTTAATTTATTTTAGAATGATCACTACCATGGATTTTGGGCCAAATGGACCATCTAGCACTCTCCCGAACAATTCCTGGCGTAGCTTGAGAGTTATCATGGGCAAAGGATCATTTGTAATGAGCCATTGAATGTGAGCACCCTGTTTTAGGGAGATAAAGAGTTTCATAGTATGGATGTGGTCTGGTCCTTTCCAGCTGGCTATAATGTCAACAAACAGTCCCATATATGCCTAATTTGTTAGTATAGATGCATCTTCTGTGGCTAATATTCATTTCAAGTAAAAGGACTTGCAAGTGGTCTGTGCTAACTTTTATACGAATTTACCCAGGAGTAAGAAGTAGTGCTTTAGAATTAGTGTTTCCAAAGCATATTTCCTTCTATATCAATCAGGCTGTTGGGCATCCTGAGAAGGAGCAGAAGATTTATCATCTGCATGCAGTGTGTTGGTCAGGACTGCCGCAACACCTCTGTAGAGCCAGGAAGAACGTGGGTCTTGGGTCATGTCTTCTTTGTCAAAGTGAATTACTAAATGTTATCACAACACTTACTAATCAAAATGTATCTGCATTACATGGCTTGTTTAGATTGGAATGAGATGTTTCAAAAACTTTTTCCATATTTAGACATAATCATTAGAAACTAGGATGCAACTTTCACCCAAGCATGCTGGTATTTTCTCCTGCTGTATACTGGCAACTTCAATAACTGTCCCTCATGCCACAAGGACAGGATTTACTAAATCTCTCTGAAAGCATTTTTTATCCTTCTTCTACTCCTTTATTCTGACTAAAATTCTGATGAACTTCACAAGATCAGTTTTGATTAGAGAGACTTACTACCTTAAGTTTGTCTTTTAAAATAGAATTGTAATTTTCCTCAGTTAGAGAGATTTCTCTAAGTTTATCTTCATGACAGAAGTGCTACAGTGGAGAATATGAACTGCCAGATCCTACTGAATACGCATTAATATTTCAGTGTTTCAGTATGAGAGAATACTACCACTTCTGGTGACAGTAAAAATATTAAAACACTAAATAAATATTAATGTCTACACCCAGCAGAGGACTTCACTGATTTAATTGTCAGGAAGGGAATATAGTCCAAACTTGTTAAATAAAACTCAGAACTCATCTGCCACCATGGCCAATGTTTTCTTCATAGTTGTCTCCATGTGTGGAGTGTGCTTCCTCCTTTAGCATCCATTGCAAAGGCTCCAACTCTTCTCATGAATGATATAGGAAACTGGGATGCCATTTTCAATTTTTACGGTTCTCTCAGCCTCAAGCACTTAAAGGGCAGGATCTTCTGCACCTTAATCAGAGATGTCAGAGATTATTATGTGATTTATAACTAGCGGATTCATATTTATAATAGTCCTCTAGTAAATCACTATTTTGTTGTCACTGTATTCTTTTTTTTTCTCCCCCCCCCCATCAGATTACAAGGAAAAGAAAAAGGAGAAGACTTGCCTTAAGCAAGGCAATAAGTCACTATTCTTAATGTGATTAGGACCTTCTAAATAATCAGGAAGAAAATTAAAATTTGAAGCATAAAAGCAGATTTTAAAAAGCTCTCTTTTGACTGTGTGAAAAACAGTTTTATTGACATAAATTCAGCAAAGAACACTGATCCCCTAATTCAATATTTAAAATTTTAGATAGTAAAAAAGTATGAAAAACCCCCAAACCCTGACAATCACATTCATACACCACCAAAACAATAGTGGATTATAAAAAAAGGTTCTGTAGGAAGTTTTCAAAATACCATGTAAAAATACATATCTTGTAAGTATAAAGCTCTTCATTGTCAAGATTTTTGGGTTGAAATAATTTTTGACATGCAAAGTAGGTAAAACAGGCTGAGTACAAAAATCACATTTTAAATACATTGGATTAGATTATTCAT